GTATGGCACTGCAGCTCCTTTCACTTGTGCTATCCTGGACTCCATTACTGGATCCTGGCGAAACACCAAGTGATTGGATTGCGGTCTGCCACGCAGTTCCTTGGGGAAGGGGTTTTTGCTTGTGTTTTTCCACAGAATGCTGATCAACCATGGCGGATCCCAGAGCATGAAGGGGTTTTGCTTTTGTTTTTCCACAGGATGCTGATCAACCGTGGTGGATCCTGGAGCATTTCGTCATTACAGACTCTGTTAATCCCTTAAAGATAGATTGTGAAGGCTCCTCCTAAGAGCTAATTCTTCTGCTTTTCCATCTTGTGTGCTTACATCCACAAATAGAAGGTTAATAGTAAATGAGACAGAAAAAATATTAGGAAAGCTATAAGTAAGAGTTATGCTTTTGCATCTCGTTAAAAACAGCTAAAGAAAGATATACAAGATCATAAGGCCTAAGTATATAGAGAAGGTGTATGGAAATCATATAAAAAGGTTTACATTTACAGTCAAGAAGAGTATTCATTCCTTTAACCCTAATTCTACAAGAGATCTCTGTTAATTTTGATCTGCAAAAATTTTGACTAGTCATAACAAAATGATTTTATAATTCAATTGGCCAAAACCATCTTAGTGCACTCGTTAAAAATGTCTTATGTTTGTCTGTCTTAAGTGTTATATGTTTGTCTGTCCTAAATGTTCAAAGATGTTTGTATGTTTTTTGATTAAAATGATGTCAAATATAAATAGATTATTGATATCTACAATCTGGATTTATAGGATCAAATAAAAAATTTAAAAGATAATATAATCTTTAAGTTTGGATACGCTCCTGTTGGTAAATAAAGAAGCAGCTGCTCAGAAAATTTATTCTGATCTTTGTTCACTAATGGGAGCCATCAGGATAATTTTCATAGCCTTATAAAAAGATATGCTTTGGTAAATATGTTGTTAAGAGTCTACATTGGTTATCTAAGGTCTGAATTATAAAAATGTTGTTGTAATATGTTTGTGATGGTTATCATTGTAGTTTTGATGGTTCTTTGTATTTGTAATTGTTATATGCATCATAAGATGACAAGAATGTATCAATCTTTTGTGTTTCGTCATGGACAACTTGTTATGGCCGTCTTACAAATTCCCGTTCAGGTGTGGATTCCTTTGAATACTTCTAACCACTTCTCCGCTGTTGTTTGGGCACGGATTTCTTCCCCTTCTCGCAGAAAAAGAGTGGCAGGTGCCGTGGTGGCGGGCATCATCACTGGCATCATAACCTTGGTGTCTGCCATCACCTCCGCAGTGGCGTTGCTGCACATTCAAGGATTGCTTAATCCACATTTTGGAACTGCTATTGCTGTGCTTCAGGAAGAGGTGGAACTCATACAGGAAGAATTAGAAGGACTATGGGCCCACAGCCAGTTGGCCTGTGATCCCCGTTATGTCAATCTCTGTCTCACGCCGTTGTCAGTTGTTAATCATTCCCAAAGGCTTTTAGAGTTATCTGCTTATATGCATGGTCCCTGGAATTCAACCTTCCTTAATTATATCAATTCTCTTACTTTAGCCATAGATGTATTGAGCTCCATCCGAGCTAAGCCTGTTACCTTGGATATGGATTTCTTAGCTGAGGCTTGGGAAAATTTGAAACGCTTGTTTTCCCCCCCTCATGGCTTCTAGTCTGGGAAGGAATATTAGGAGTGTTATTATTTCTTGTTTTTGGATCTTGCTGTGTATATCGCTGTTGGCAACGAGGGCGTTATCGCTATGAGTGTTTGGCCTTGGCAGTAGAGGTTGCCTCGGCTGGCGACGAGCCACGTGTAGCCATTTATTTGGCTGAGGCCCGTCGCGCCTGATGGAGCTCACGTTCATGTTTTCCGCCCTTGGGGGACCCAGAGACGGGTAAGGAATCGAGGCCATACCTACCAACCTAAGACAGGCACAAGGGACATAAGCCCTTCTGCTGATAACGGGTAAGGAGTTATGGTGACTCGGCCGCCTAAGACAGGGCCCCTTTGGCACCTTCCTGATTCTGCGCAAGAACAGAAGCATGTTGCGGGCATGTAACGTCGACTCCGCTTGCCGTTGCCTTTATTGCTGCTTTTGTTAAAAAGGAAAGGAGGAATTCTGGAGAGCCATAGATCCGCCCCTCCGCCATTTTATGATATAGCCTATGAAGCCATTTTGTATTAGGTTTAGTTTTCCTGTAGATCACATGATATGTTCCCGTGGGTGTTTGATGTATCCTTATAAGGTAATAATCTGTTCTCTGTATGCTGATTGGTTGCATTATGGTATATATGTTGCCACCCCTTCCAGGCGCGGAGAGCGGGGTAGAGATCCGGAGATGAGGAACTAAAGTAAACTTGTGTATCAAGTGTGTGCCTCTTTGCTCGAGAGTCGCCAGTTCAGGCCCCTGTCGTCGCAGACCGAGTTGCCCAAGGCAATCCGGCTCGCGACAAGGTCTATCCCACCACACCGGGAGGAGCGAATCTGAGGAACAGCATCCTCGCTGTTCTGCACTTCCTGCCTTCAGGGCACACGATCATTACCTTCCGCTTACGCTAGCGCACTCCACACCGACTTCCGTTCTCAACACCAATCAGCCCTATTTAATATTCCCTGTCTCCATTCTGGCTGCAATGCTGGCGGCTGCCAGAGTTTCCCACAGACTCTGAAAATGCCAAGGCTTGACTTCAGGGCCCTGTGAAATATTCTCACTGAGTGACGGCATTCTGTGCTGTGGATGTGTGCCGAAATCGGAGTTCCTGACGGGCATTCGGTGTCTGTGCTGCTCTTCTGGGCAACGAGCGTTCCTCTGGTATTCCTGATTCCTGCTCAGTGTTCGCAACTTAATTCTACTCAAATCCATGGTGCCGCCCCTCTTGCTTCTGTGCTGTAACTGTGAGGATTCTGAGGCCGGATCGGTGTGGGGCTCCACCCTCCCGAGCCTGGGCCCTAAGATGATCTTAAAATAATCCTGAGCCTCAGTTGTAAAATCGTAGCACTTTAGTGACTCTTCTATCAGCTAATTTAGGAAGACAGATTCTTCCACATCAGTTTAGTAAATTCTTTGATCGACATAAAAGTATGTGGAGACCTTAATTAACCGTGTTGACCCAAATGAAAAGCTAAAGGCTCTACTGAGTCACAAGGTCATCAGGAGAAAGAAGGTGCTAAGTTAAGGCACCTGGCCACGCCACTGTGGAGAGTCAGTATTTACTGACGTCCTAGAGCTACGTCACTCAAAATATAAGAAGGCTGGAAACAACCTAAATGTTTAATATTTAAGGGCTGTCAACAAAAGCATGCTATGAAGATGACTACTTATGGGCTAAAATACAAATGTATTCTATGGAAACATACGAAAGAGAATAGTGTAAGTGGCTTTTTCTCATAAAAATTAAAATATGGAAAATCTATAGTAAAACAATGTTTACACAGTGGAAAGGTAAAGCAGATACATTAAAAGGATGGCTACTCACAATGAAAATGTTCCTTACTGTCTATTGTTTATTAACTTTAAATACAGTATTAAAAATATAAAGTCTTAGGCAAATTATTCTATCTATAGGCAAAATATAATGTTCATCGGGATTATATCTAGATAAACATATTGTTAAATACACATATAAACTGGAACACACATGTATACGAAGTTAACACTGTTGTGAAAATATGCTAATTAAATACGATGCACGTTGAGAAGAAATACATATTTGTCTCTTTGTGGCTCCATTGTCCTTCTGGAGCCCAGGCATGGAAGGGTGCGGCCCTTCTTTGCCCAGGGCTGTCACACTTATCTAAGTGATGGAGCTAAACCAAGGTCACTGACCTGGCAGCAGTGTCTCTAAGCTGCTGAATTAGAGGAACGCTCACCTGTGCATACTGAGTGCTTGGTCTCCTGCCTGGGAGTGCCAACTGCTCTGATGAGTGAAGTTACGTGGGGACACTGCGCGTGGCAGGAGGGGCACAAAGTCCCGGGGCTTCAGGACCCTGGCCTGGAAGCTGACAGAGGCCACAGTGAAGAGAAGGCAAACACTTAAGGCAGGACACAGAGGACGCAGAAGCCTCTCTCTCCTCAGAAAGGAACACATTCCAAGAGGGAAAAGACGGGATGGGCGGCTGCCATATGGTGATTAGGAAAGTACCCTGGAGAAGGGAAGGAAGCCAAGCAGCTTTTCTTATTAAACTTTTATGGCTCTGCTTAAATCTGCGGGAAGCACAGACACGCATGAAATACGACCCTGCCGAGACCCGCTCTTCCCTAGTGGAGTGGACTGACCGCCGGACAGGTGGCCGCTCCCCCACTGTTAGCGTCTAGCTCCGCCCATTACAGGTGAGGTCCACCGCGGCAACCCTCGGTGGACACTCGCCCAACTCATAAAGCTGTCCAAAGCCTTTCAGAAAACAGTTCCAGGGCCTTTTCCAGCATAATACAAAAACCCTTCTTAATATCAATAAAAGGCAGCTGAATTAAAAATTCCTGCTTGCTCCAAGCAGCAGATAATTAACTGCATGTCCGGCCAGAGGAGCCGCACAGTGTAGACACAGGGCCCTGGGCTACAGGAAGCTCCCTGAAGCTGGGTCTCGCCCTTTGACTTCATAAGCACTGCGACTTTTATAACTTATCGCCACGCCTTCTGTGTTTTAAGTAGTTTCCATTAAGCTAGCATGAAAATAATTTTCAAAGAAAAGTACCACCCACCCACAAGCCTGCCCTACACTAAAGCTCTTAAATCTGCCCGCGTACTCAGCACCGTAATCACACTGGGCAGAAGCTAAGGGAGCCCGGTTCTCTGGAAGGTGTCACCTGACAACGTGTTTTGCCAATTTTCTCAGCTTGCTCGTTTAATCAGCACGTACTACGAGACCTGCAATGTATGCTACACGTGTTAAAATGTGAATACAACAGATTCCTCCTAAATAGACACCACAAAAGGCTTATTTTACAAAAAGTATAATGTTTCCACACTTTATAATCCGCGCGTATGCACTGCGTTTCATCTTACCTCTTCTCCAGACAGATAGTAGGCTGATAGCAGTCCACCAACAAAGCGTATATTTACTTCAAAAACAGAAACCTCAGCATTCTGTGGAGACAAAATGAAGGAGGTTCAAGAACAGTTACTGCACACAAGTTAGAAAGCCGTCACTGTGACACACTGTACCACGTGTTTAAAATCTGCTCAAATCCTCCACGCTTGCCCAAGGAATTTATACAACAGGGAAAATTCTCTTTTAATGGTGTCAAAATACACTTATGTGGATAAGGATAATTCTGGCTCTTAGAAATTACAAGGTCCTACTAGGCGTGGTGGTGCACCCCTGTAATCCCAGCATTCGGGAGGCTGAGGCAGGAGGATCACTGTGAGTTCAAGACCAGCCTGGGCTACATAGTGAGTTCTAGGTCAGTCTCAACTACATAGTGAGACCCCGTCTCAAACAAAACAAAACAAAATCAACAAAGAAAATGAAATTACAAGGTTTTCTCTCTCTTCCTTGTACTCAGCAGAGATACATTACCTGACATTCTCTCTCTATATGTGCACATACAGCAGGACCACAGCGCTTACTCTATTCGTGTCCACGAATCTTACCATTTGTGTGCTTTCTCCTGAATGGCTGAATGCACTGTCCCGAACTAGCAATCTCTTCCTATTCCCTTACAGCAGCACAGACAGAATACAATAGGGGTCTGCAGCCAGGGACCTTGGCTGTAGTTTTCCGACTTTCTGCCTGCGACTTGGGATGGTCACACCTCTGAGATGACAGTCTCTGAACACAGGAGAGGGTAATGATAGCAACATGTGCTGTAACTGGCTGCTACCACTCTGATCTATTCCGTAGTAAGTTTGCTTCTATTGTTGCTGACACTGTGACCGCGTCTTTCACGCCTCATACCCATCTTATGGATTAATCACTACTCTCAGACCCTTTCAGAGATGGAAAATCTGGGACTTTCTGAAGGTCAGACAAGTAACAAGAGACACGATCAGGGCTTGAACTCGAGTCCTCTGGTTTCTCGTGCTGAATTCTCTGAGTCCTCACAAGCTGAGCCCCGTGTCTTCTCGTCAGCAGTCAAAGAACTGTGGCACAAAGCCAGTAATTACTGCCTATCCTTTTCTGATTTCCTAATCCTGACTAAGGAGATGTGTCTTACACTTCGCTGGGACTTTAGCCCAGCTTACCCACAACACGTAGAAGGTGCACTTAGAGCCTTAGCCAACACCTCTCCACACTCACCAGCCCACTCAGGGGCTGTAATTCTGCCCACCGTCAAATCACACACCAAGAAGCATGAGGATAACAGCAGCCTTAACACACAGTCCCCACCTGGCAGGAACCTGCTCTGACTCATCCGGGAAGCTATTTTATTCAATGAATATTTATTAAGGAACTACTATTTGCCAGGCCCTGTTCTGGGACACAGGACAAGACAGTGAAGTTGGGAGAGGTCCTCAAACTCCATGGGTCTACATTTTATTGGGAAAAAACATTTTCAGAAAATACAGGTGATAGTCATTTTATTCCCTTGTGCTCTCCATAAAAGGTACATGGATCGCACAATTAATGCTAAATGACTCCTTAAGTAGACAAACGTTAAAAATTTTCCTGCAAAGGAAAGATTATGAAAACAAGTTAGGAGAGATAAATTTTGGTGAAAGTTAAGTAAAAGAATCATAAAATAAGACTATATGGTGCTTTGCTTAAATGTACTATATCATTTTAATATTCATGCATGCATTTTGATGAAAAGCACTTGCAATTGATCTGTGAAGGGAATCACATTGAATAAGGAGTATGTAAATGTTGGTAAAAGCTCTAATAGTGCACAAAATTACCAGTAAGAAAAAGAGAAAAGAGCCCATTCGTTTAGTTTGGTTTGCACAACTGTAATCTTACATCTAAGAGGAATCATGTTATTAATAACAACATCTAGTGAAGGTAAACTGCCAAGTGACTTCCCTCTCCATTGGTTCTTGTATTTTTCAGGTTTCCTTGTTTTATTTTTTGAGACAGGGTCTCACTATGTAGTTCAGGTTGGCATCAAATTCCTGAGCTTCCTGCCTCAACTTCCTGAATGCAGGGATGACAGGCGTGCACCAACACGCCCGGCTTGTGTTTTGGCTTTTAACCCCGAGAACGGTCCCCACATTTCTTCTCCTGAAGCTCGCGAAGACGAGCCATGGTCTTGTTTCAGCTACAGCTTCATGACGCGTGCACCCTCTCTTCTGCCTACACAACTTTGGATCATCAGGGCCTTTGTGTGGGCACCTGACAAAGATTACTGCAAAGCACAGGGCCGAGCCCTGCTGAGCACACAGAAACACATCTCCTGATGCATACCCATCACCTGTCTGGTGCCGTTACTCAAGCGGCTATCGATGCAGCTCTGCAGCAGTCTCAAACCTGAATCTACCTGTCGCGCTCAGTCGGTCTGCGAAGCGCTGACGGCCAACCTTGAGGTCCAGGTCCAGGTCAGACGCTCTGGCTGTGAGTTTCACAATGTGAGGTCTGCAAACCCGTCTACAGAGCAGGTCTGCTCTGCCCGTGAAGCCGCCTCACCCCAGCAACCTCCGCAGTCGTCCTCTCCAGGGTGAACTAGCACTTGCAATACACAATCCTCTCCTTTCCCCCCAAGCCAAATCAGAAACCTGAGTCTGAGCTCTGCAAGACTCCAGGCTGCACTGTATGTTAAATTTACACACTTCAGGTTACCTTTTACACACTCTTAGGTGAAAAAGGCTAAGAAGGCACAAATTCTCCTGCTGCCACAAGCTGGTGAGCAGACTAAGGAAAGCCAAGCCTTGCAGTCAGGAAGCTGCGGGTGGAGGCTGGGTCTGGGGAGTGCTGCCTCGGTCCTGGTACAGAGCGACAGTGTCAGGAAGCCGGAGAGCGAGGCGTTCATCTTCCGGAAACCTCCAGAACCACGTCCACCCTCCCTGACTCTCCGCAAGTGAGGCGCCGCCACAGCCAAAGTCTTCTTCTGAAATCGAGCACCTCGAACAGCTTCCCTCTGAACTTGATAAATTTTGTAAGATTCTTGGATTTTTAAAAGTGATTCCACAATACAAGCTTTTAGGCTACTCTTCTAAACTTCTGATTTCAATTTCCATGAAAATCATCGTATTAAATTTAAAACGGTATCGTCCCCCTATTGACATGCACACAGTGACTCTCAAGATGTTCTAAAGTCCCAGTGACAGTGGGGTAGGCAGAGGACAGGACGCAGAAGGGGCAGCCGCGGAACTAGAGGCTCGCGTGCTCTGTCCTCGTAATTCATGCGAAAGTTGCAGTCTGCTTCCCTTGCTTGTTTTAAAATAAAAAGTTTCCCTTACATCATTCTGTAAGGTTTCACCCTAAGAATACGCCCATGTGGTGTGTGGCTAACTGAATATGATCTCACTGAGCATCGGCCTGAGAAGTAGACAGGGTCTTCCTTTAAACCGAATGCGATGATTAGTGCAGGCCACAGCGGGTGAGCAAGCTCCGGGTGGAAATTTTTGGCTGAAGATTTGCCCATAGAAACACATCCCTCTTTCACATTGATTCATCCTGTCAATGGCTACAGCATCGAAGAACACAGGTTACCAAGTTTATCTACCAATTAAGTAAACAAGTAATATGACTGAATTTGGACCAAAATTCAAGAGTAAGTCATACAAATCATGGAAAAATTATGTGTTGGTACCAAGTTCCAGCAGTGCCATGCCAGGTGCGCTGTACTGATAATTCCGGCCTTACGACCATGCACTCTGTCTTCATATTTGCCTTTGATTTACTGTGCACATAAAATGACGTGATAAGGTGATAAAGACTGCCAAAACACAAAATTAGTCAGCGTTTGTAGATTACTCTGCACGTTCCTTAGCTTCCACCAGCTCCCTGTCTGCCGAGAAAGGCTCTCTCTCTCCCAACCAGGGCTTCGGGAGCTCCCTCTACCCCAGCGAGTCCAGAATCTGTGTTGGAAGGAGCTGGGACAAGCTCCGCCTTCTGCTCCATGAGACAGCATTTTAAACAGAGTGGACAGAGAGACTTTAATTAGACTGCATTTCTGAGCAACTTCATTACAAAGTTATCTATAAAATGATATGCTATTTCTAATTGAAATAAGAACCTTGAGAAGAACAAATTTAGGTTCTGGGGCAGACACAGCCACCCTTCTACCAGGGGGCACTACAGAGACACAGCTCCCCTGGACTGATGTGTACTTTCTTCGGATCCTCGGGCCTTAGGGTATGACTTGGTTAGAAACTTGTACCAGAACTTCCTTGTTACTTTATGATTCTATGCAACACATCTGAGTGATTTCACCCAAATGAAAAGGATTTCTTGGAAAAGAACTCTTCACAAATATTTAATATTCTGAATGTTTGATTTTCGGACTGAACCTAAAATATATTTCTCTTTTATAGGGCAAGTCTCTGATCCCTAAAATCAAAGATTATTCCATTGCTGGCTATTCCCTAAACTCTCCTCAGCTCTTACAACAAACTGGGATTTCCAGACCATCATCACACACAAGAAATAACAAGGTTTAATAATTGCCTGGGACACACCCACACAGCTGCACTTAATAACAAGCACCCACTGCAATCCAGTGTAGCAGTGATGTTTAATAACAGCTGCACTGCTACTAACATAAGGATAAGTCTACTTTACCTTACTGACAAGCACTGTGGAAATAACACAGGACGTTTCAAAGCCATCAAATAAAGACAAGTGCCTGCCTAGCAGCCTTGCCTGTGTTTAGGATTAACATACACTTTTACTCACAAATGCTTCTGAAAAGTGTATGTTGTGTTAACACTTTGAGGATTAAAATCAAGCATAAAACTTCTCTTTAACAGATTAAACTGCAGTGCTTCACACTCCCAGAGCTTTCAGTTTCAAATTTAAGTAACTTGATGAGCTCTTAAGATTCTTAACAAAGTGCAAGTTCTCTGGGCCGCAGAGCCAGAAGCAACATCTGGTCTACCTTGCAGGCTGGAAGGGTTCTGAAGGAGCAGCCCTGGGCAGGTAGTCGGAACGGTCAGCTCTGGACTGAGAGCTCCTGGCGAGATCAGGTTCTGCGGCAGCACAGCGGATT